ACAATCTAAATGAACATTTTTTCACAGCGATCTATCGCAAATAAGACAAGTTGTTCAAGAGAACTAATCTTCTATGAGTGGCTGACAAAAACAAGGGAAATTTTTCAAATGTTGCTTTCACAATAATGTCAAGCACAAATTTCTGTTTAACTTCGTTTTTGTTTTTTCAAAGTTTCGTCAACATGATCAATTGGCGTTTGATTTGCGATAATAAGTTTAAAAAGTGGACTAGAGTTTGATCAAAATGAGTATCAAAAAGGATGTATCAGTTTTATTTTAACAAACTATATTGTGAAAATGAATAGCTAAATATAGAAGTTTTGCGAGTCTCAACTCCCTCAACAACTCTATTTGAAAGCTGTACGTCCCATTAATGACAAATATTCCCTTCCATAAAGAGAAGGAGAACTTTTTTGTTGCTGAAGCATAAGATACATGACATCGTCTTTTCGAGCCCACTTCACTAGTATTAGAGCTTTATGATAAGTTATTGTTTTGAATTGATGGGCTACGTTAATTGTTTTTCCCACCCCTTTCTTTTAGCACTCAGTACATCCGTGGCAGGTGAATAGTGACGGAACAGCCACGCATAGAAAAACCGGAAAAGACATTTCAGCGTAAGAGTAGTCGTCTAAGATTAATGAAATCGTAGTGTCTGCTATATCCCCAGGAGTGATACGAAGTCCGATAGCAAAGCCTTTCAACTCCTCGCTAAGCTTGTGAATAGGTATGGGATTGGAACATTATCGCTGTGCATTGAGTGCACATCTAATTTTCGCTCGACAGCATTTGAAAAGACGCGGATTTCTTCTGCAAATGTGCAGCGCTAATCCGTGCAGGATGCATCCACTTGCACATACGGATGGAGGAGCTTGGGTAAAAACTATTCGCAGTTTATAAGCTGTGGCGCTCGTAATGGTGTAATGGCACCTAAGATGAAAGGCCAACTGACGACATAATTGCGTGCAAAGAATATAGGCTCGAACAAGCGTAAGATGATTGTTCTTCCTTAGTTAGCTATATCGTACGGAAGCTTTCGATAATGGCAATGCTAGAAAAAATTTTTAAACGTAGTCTAAAAGTTTGGGGGGATGTAGGAGATGTTAATCCCATAAGTAAGATCACATCATTTTCGATGTCAATC